GTGCCAGTCCATGCAATAGTTGTTGACATATTTCAGTCCGGACCAAAGTTGTGGGCCGCCCCGCATGGTTAAAAAATACTCAAAAGGTATATTACACAAAAACCATCAAGATGAAATCTAATACTTCCACCATTGGTCCTCAGACATCATGCACTAGTTACATATTTTGGGACAACAGAGCAGAGGTGGGTGACTAAAGGCCTAATCTGGTGTTAAAGGGAACCAAAGTCACCAAACCACAAAAAACCATCCCTTTGGTTCTGTCCAATCCCAAAAAGCATGAGAAATAATAACGCCATAATCTGGGATTTACGATTAATCCTGTAGATAACAGTGGTTGGACACAAAACAGGGTCACACAGGAAACGGTGGCGTTAAAAACACACTCTGCAGCCTGAGCGGCTGTTGAAATCACACATTATCCCACGCACAATGTTCTCTATTTCAGCAGGCTGTTGGCAGGAAACTTTGGAGCAGCTCAGTCAATAGAGCCACCACCAACAACTACCAGTGTCCTAAATTCTTCAGTGAGTGCTCTTTTATTATGTACTATTGATCGGCGGCGGCGTACATGCAGATCACTGGTAGTGGGGCTTGTGTAGCTGCGTGCGTTGGTATTTCTGCACTGTCATGGTGTATCCTCCTGCACTGCTTTTAGACAGGCTGGCTGAGCCGGCTGCAGTCATCATCCCACAATGCTGTCAGCCTGTCCTGTCCTGCCCAAGCATAAGCAGCCCCACGGTGTCACATGGGAAAATAACAGGTCTTGTATCAGATAGCTCTGCCGCATGGAAACTCCAATATGTATTTAATAAAAGCCTTTCATTCCTGAACCACTGAAATGACGTTAAAGTTTCTAGGAACTTGAGATCACCTGGGCAACCATCTGTCAATTGATAAGGCGGGTGGAAGTTTTCTTTTTAATCTAAGAGCAGACGAATCAGATATGTTTGGCTACGAACTGTAGAAGTTCATCAATACGTCATGGTTCATGACATACAGTGAACAGGCTGAAGTTTGCATGAATGAGTCTTTGAATGAGTCTGAATGCTTTTTCAGAAGCAGTTGCACCTTGGATTTGACTACATTTAGATATATTAAATGTCAATACAAAATGCTGACAACCACAGGCTTCAATCTAAAGACATCACTATCAGCACTGGCTCTCAAAAACCCGGCCTGACTGCAGTCCCTGAGCACGCAATTAAAGCCCACAATAAGAGTCCACATTCAAACTAGAGCTACTCATTAATCAAAATGCCCTTGTGTGCTAACAGTTCTTTTAAGGTGTGGAGCTGGCCATTCTGTGATTAGCAGTCCTCCCGGATCAAGGTCTAGATGGCATTCCAGCCACGGGGAGGGGGATCAAAGCATCATTGTTGACCAGAGAGGCAGAAACGGAAAAACCAGATCTGCCCGGTGAAAAGCTGCTGCTGCTTTTTACACAGACTGCCACTGTGTTGGGAAGGAGGCAGCTGGGACTGTGTGCTGGGGGAGTGTGTGGCAGAATTTATATGGCATCATTTATACAGCTGCAATCACTCCCTGTCTGTCTCTCTGGATTTCTGGCCCAGTAACCTGTGTGTCTCTGGGAGGGAGCCAAAAACAAGAGCACAAAAAAAGTTGAAGCACAGCAATATGAAGAAAGTGAAAATGAAAACCTTCATCTAGTGCACACTAGTTTAGCCTGAATCAGTTTGGTGGACACTGAATTAGATTGCTGTGTTAAAGGTATCTTAAAGTAATATTCTGGGAGGACTGTCAGTTCACAGTTATACATGCATGGTTTTCTGCGAGTACACTATTACTATTAACACTGTATTTCTTGTGAGAAAATAATTGTTAGCCTATATCTAATCTGTTACACTGCATGTAAGCAGACCACACATGAAACCTGACACAACTGCATGCCCTTCAAGGTTGCATTCTCGGATACGTGGAAATACAGATTCTGACGCATTTTGGGTGTAATATTTCGTAAGGTGTAAACGTTTAGGGGTAAATGGATGGTCTATGTGATGCAGACAAAAGCCGGATGAGCAGAAGAGAGAGTGGGGGGGGACCTACCTTGCCTGTGGACCACTGGGTGTAGGAGCTGCCTGAGTCCAGATCCACAGCCGCAGTGCTCTTACAGTGACACATGGGTTGATCCAGTCTGTTATAATGAACTGTCAACGCCTAATTCCAACACCGTCCCGCTGCTACCGCCCTCCTCAAACACGCACCGGGCTTACAGAGAAAACTAAAACCATGTTAAACGTCCTGCTCGCTCCTGTCTGGCCTGTCTGTGTGTGTGTGTGTGTGTGTGTGTGTGTGTGTGTGTGTGTGTGTGTGTGTTTGCTCCTGCGTTTAGTTTCCATCCAGGAAGCTGTTCCTGCTCTCTGCTGATCTCCACTCTTGACTGCTCCTGCCGGTTGTTTCACTATATTCATGATGCTTTCATGGTGCTTTCATGTGCAGTCGGAAAAATGGTTGCTGAACTGCTCAGGAACGAGTGGTACAGTAACTATGGAGTAACTATAAATATAACTAAAGACATCAATAAATAGTTTGATCATCAAAAAGGAAAACAAATAAATAGACCTGATTGGATGTAAAAGGAGAAGTATAAAGCTAAAGACATTTTATTTATTTAAACTGATTATTTTAATTATTGATATTCACCCATTGGTTTGTTGAGTATCGTTTTGAAGTCTGGCATTATGGCCGCTGTCATGTTGTTTTTTTGGAGCCAGCAGCAGTGACATACTGTGAATTGAGCTGCGCTCTTTAGTTGTGCTCATTCGACGTCCATAGCACGGTTGTATTAAGAGAAGTGGATACAGCATTGGAGGTGACACTCCGTTCAAGCTGCTCAGTGGTGCATGAAACCAAAAAATCCACTTCTGCAAATAAACTACCCCAATGAATCTTTTGAACTTTTGTTTTTAATAAGCACAGAGATGGTTAAGTTTAGCCAAAAAGTTGCTCATGTCAATTTTCTCAGAGAAAAAGAGCATATTGATTTTTCAATATCAAACGTTTATTACCTGAAGGAATTAATGAATGAAGACTTCAATGAATTAGTAGCAAAATCTTAAATTGTACTTAATCCCTCATGTATGTGCTTTCATTTCTCAATACTGGTTCTCTTTTTATCTCAGCTTTTTGACACTTCCAATGAGTATACAGTGTGTTGTTGTTGTTGTTGTTGTTGTTTTCATAGTATGTATTACTTGAGAGACATATTTTGGGAAAATACTTATTTTATACCAGCGACAGTACCGCCTCCTATTCCTATTTCCCCTGTTTACGGTCCATATATGGCTTCATATCTATCATTTAGATATCCCCTATCACTGGAGTAATATGATTGGCCTGGAACAACATTACCATTTACCAAACTCATCAATGTGTGAATGTCCTATTGACTGATGGCCTATGTAGGCTATTGGTTATTTTAATTTATTTATACACAGTCTAACAATAAAGTTAGTATTCCTACTATGATAAACAAACACAGTCACAGTGACAGAACAGAAGAGAAGAATTTGCCTTATGAGCTGCAAGTGTCTTAACTTAGATTTCATCCGAAAGACAAATAAAACAAATTATTCCACCTTTAAAGAAACCATATTCCAACAGTTTCTTAATTTTGACATTATCACATGCCCTCAAAAGTATGATGTTTTCAAGATGTCATTGTCAGGGACGGCTGGTTTAAATGGGCTATCTTTTACAGTAAAGATGAAAAACTATTATTAAAAACCTTGGAACATATTGTTTTGAATTTTGGTAGAACCTAGAGCAGCAACAGCACCAAAAAATGACAGGATATATGCTATATCTTGGGTTATTTGTGAATTTTAAAATATTTATCCAAAAAATTAGGAAACATGAATGCAGCACGAGCCACATTGGAAATGTAAAGCTGTCATTGCTGGGTAAAGTGAACATCACCTGTCAGCTTAATGAGGGTCACCGCATCCTGTATGCATCCAGATGCGGACAGGAGGGCATTTTAGCATGCGTTTTTCAACAATTGGGCCAGGAGGGGGGGCGACCCCAAGTCAGAGGATCTCTTTGAGAAAGCCAGGCGCTTGTTGTCTTTGCAGGTGCACATTACCCAGTGATCTGCAGGGAGACACTGAAAGGTGAGCTGATGGTGAGGTACAGCAGGGTGGAGTTTGACATGGTGATTAACCTGTTTGTGTCACAGAAAGGCCGTTGATGTGAGCGGCGTTTTAAATAAGGTATGCCCAAGCTCTGAAACAACTCTCTCTGCTACAAATAATTATTTTTGCTTTGGTTTTGTAGATTTATTTTTTTATTTATTTTTGTTGCAAATTGTTGCAGGTACAACATAATGGTTTCTATAATGTTGTTGCAGCACAATCAGCTGTGCTGACGTGTACAGAGGAGAGAGACACCTGTAGGCGGGTGCCACTGCCTTCCTGTAGGCGAGACTCAAGAATCAACGTGGGTTTGAAACCAGTTTGCCTTCCTGTTGCATCAACTCCAACTCCAACTCAACTCAACTCAACTCAGCTGACCATAGAAAGGAAAGGTGGGCAGGTCGGAATCGAACTGTGGGCCGCTGCAGCAACTCCGTATATGGGTCGCCAAAACACATCCATGCCCTCTTATTTCTTGGCATAAACAACATGAACCATTGATCTAGATTTGCTTGTGTAAATGCTACCATATTATGCTGCCAGTGAACGCTCCCATACTGGGGATTATAAGAGTAGGTTTATACGAGGTGCAGTGAAGGCATCAGGACAGGGCAGGGGGAGAAAGGCAGCCTGTTTGTCCAAACTTCAGAATAATAATAAATGCCATCATTTAATATTCAGAGGGTGTTGCAATATTACTGCAGTGTCAGTCATTAAGCAAAAACACAGAGAGATATTTGGGGGAATACTGACAATGCGGTGCAGGTCTAAAATCACTGTCAGTCACTCTACATGTTCACACCTACACAGATGGAAAGCCCAAGTTAAACTGCGCATGCGCCAAGCTGGGAGGGGGGGACTTTTCCGAAAATTTCTCTATAACAGTCCGTGTTCGTCGCTTTAACCAAGATAATATCATTACCACACGGATGATGGACTCCTCCGACCCTCTAACGCTGCGGCCCTTCAATAACAGCAATTTCTCAAAGACGAAAGAAAGGACGCCGTTCTACCAGGTGGGTTTTTAGCCATTACATCTCCTTATTATTCTCATTACAGTCCTGCATAGGTCGGACCCTCTCACCTCACTTTGAGCTGATCCGAAGAGTTTTTCACCTGAATCAAAATAACAGGATGTTACTGGTCATGCGGTCAGTGGAGGGCTCACTTTTAAACCCCCGCTCAGTTCACTGTGCAGCTGTGCACTGTGGTGTACTCTGTAATATATAATCATATGGTTCATTTCCCCACGGCGGATAATAAGTTCTAATACTCTGACGACAATTTGAGTTTGTGATAGCATTTGGTTCCACCATACTATTTCCGTATAGTCTACTGTGACTTTCGGTTTTAAAAAAAAGAAATCCCAGCATCAGCGACTTCGAGGAAGAGAGAGAGGAGAGAGAGAGAGAGAGAGAGGAGAGCGCATGTGACCTAGAAAAACAGGGTTACCGAGCATCAGGTGGTCTTGCGGTGTGCGCTGTTTGTGCCAAGAAGCGCACCCACTCTGTGAGTTGGTGAGATGAGAGCTTGAGGCCTCCTCTCTGCCTCTCTCCCTCAGGTGATGACCTGTAAAGACTCCAGCCTGCAGAGGATCATCCAGGTGGTGCAGAGGGTGGCGCAGAAGAGCTGCAGAAGAGCCTGTCAGCTGTTCTGCTGTCCCCTGGACACTCTGCTCTGTGAGAAGCTCACAGCCTGCCCAGGTAAAATCCAAATGGATGATGGCAACAATGAATATTTGCATCATTGTTTTGCATGTTGCTGTAATGTCATGCTCCATAATGATATTAATAATAACAACTACAACAACAACAATAATAATAATAATAGGATAATTTATTTGAATTTGATTTCATTTTTAAAATGCTCCATTTTGCTTTCTTTAAAGCTCCAAATCATCAACCTGAGGAGGATAAAAATGCACAAGGTAACTTTCTTTGAGTTTATTATTAATTACCTTTTCTCTTATTATAGCTTGCGTATGTGTCAGATAAAGCTTTGAATCATTGAATCCTTACATAAAGGAGCTTTTCCCATCATTTTATGCAGCAGTTTGTTCTGTGTAGACGTTTTACACAAATTAGGACAACTTGAACAAAATCTGTCAACCAGCTACATTAATACGTGTACTTTATACATTTTGCTAGCAGCACATTTTCCACAGAGGAACCTCAAATACTTTCTTTGCTTTTTCCATAAATCCAGAAACTGTAAGGAAGTGATAGTGACACATTTCCGCTGTTACATCACTCTGGAACAACAACTTCCCGTTCTCATATTCTCTTCCCTTTCTCTGCCATGCCCACTCATTAACAGTCGCACTCCGGAGTCCGCCTTCCACCATTTTGATTTTGAACATCAGCAACTCCACCTTGATCGACTGCGTCATCGGAAATGACACCTATCCATCTGCAGTGGCAGAAAGTCAGCCTCTAATGCATGAATCAGAGCTCCACATGCACGGTGGGTAACGGCCAAACCTATTTTATAGCATATTCCTGGGAATTTAAAGTACTTTAAAGTAGTAAAGAACTAATTTATACTATGCTATGTTGTATTATTATATATAATATTTCTGTAGTAGTTGTACTAGACACATCACAGTGCTCAAACTGCACTCACGAGAAGTGAAAACATTTTGTTTGGTCGTGCGTCACAGATCAGGCAAGGTGCGGGTGTAGCTGTGGGGCGGCACAGACCTCTCCTCCTCCTCCTGCTCCTCTTCCAGCACCAGCAGAGCCTCCGAGGATCAGCATCCACAGCTCCCATCTCAACTGTGTCATCATCGGCAACAACAACTACATGCAGGCCGAGCAGTCCGACTATACTGAAACAAATGAACCGCAAGTGTGAGTGTGAGGCTTCGGCCGCACAGAGCTGACACACTACACCCTCCAGCAACATGCTCATCCCCCCCCCACAAACACACACACTTTTTCTTTTTTTTCACCTTTTGGATTTGGATCTGTCCATTCAGTTTCTAAGTGACTTAATTGTGTGGTATGTAAAATGTCAGAATAGTAAAAAGGGCCTAAGCTGATATATTCAAACTGTTTTGTCCGATCAAACATCCAAAACACAGAGATATTCAGTTTAATATCATAAGGGAGTAAAAAAAAAAAAAAAAAAAAAAAGAAGTAATACGATTAATACTTAAGACTTATTTCCTGTGGATGCAGTTATTGACTGATTGACTTGTTGTTTTGTTGTTTCAGCTCTGTCATTTGTTTTGACGTATTTGAACTTTTCCCCTCTGGTTTTGGGTTGATGTGACTTGAAACTGGTCTAACCGTGACATTTGAAACACTGATATAAAACACAACCATAGCTCATCGTAGTTCTCTAAGTGGTGTAAGAGTTCCTGCACGCACAAACAAACGTCAGCTCCTCATATTTTATCCTTACAAATACTTCTCCTCAGTAAATGGGCTTCCTGTTTTGCAATGTCGGGGTTTCTGCTCCTCTGTCAGATATGATATGATGTAAATGATATAAAGTTGGGAGCATTTGTACCGCATTAATTTCCCACATGGATGTGACTTTGTAATGACTCATCTCATTACAAGCATCTGATCTTTCTGGAATTAATGTCAAGTGATCTGATATTGACCTATTTTCTTTCTTAGGAAAGAGAAGTTGCTGTAGGATCCATTTTATCAGCTCAGAATTGTATTTTGTATGATCAAGTGCATGCTATTGAAAGACTGTGTTACTTATCATGTCATGATAAAGGTGTTGACTTATGTTCAAATGTATGGCCTATGGTCACTAACAGTAGACTACTTAGTAGTGTTCATTGCTGGAAGTCATTCTGATTTCTTGCTTTTTATTTTTGCTGTTAATTGTATCAAATGACAGTTTGGCCTTTTATATTCATTCATTTTTATTGTATTATTTTATTAAGGTCAACCTGTCTATAAAATATGTAATATGTATATGTAGACTTTGAATCAAGGTGCTACTATTGTTTCTGCTGATATGACAATATATAATATGATGCTGATATGCTCCATGTTACTCAGTTTTTCTTTCTTTCTTCTTGAATATTTTATAAGATAAGTTTAAGTCTTTTATTTTATTGCATACTTTATGTTTGAAATTACTTGAAAAAATGTTTTGTACAATCTTAAATAAAGAACAGAGACTTGTATGGCAGTGTCTAATGTTCTATTGAATTCTATTTATTATTTCAATGTGTCAAAGGAGTGTTGGAAAAAACTCATTTTTTCTTCTTCTTTCCTTCCTTCTTCTTCTTCTTTCCTTTCTTGTCATCCTCTGCTTTTTTAAAACTACCGAGGCCCCGCCGGACCATGCAGCCTCTCCACCAGGCCTGCAACTGTAGGGTCAAAGGTCACAGCCAGGGTCAGAATTAGGGATCAGTACACTAAATAACCAGATCTGAACTGATTGGATGCTGTTACCTTGGTAGCAGCTCTGGCCTCTTCCTGCTGTTGGCGCAGTCTCTCCTGCTCCTCCCTGTCCTCCATCACCACCTGCTCCATCTCCTTGAACTGAACACAATTCAGCACCTCATTAATGTTCATCTAAGAGTGACTGTGCACCCTCTTCAGCACCTGCAGCTGCTCACCTTCCTCTTCATATCCGTCAGTCTGTCCAGATTCAGTGTCCTTTTGCAGCACACACCGTTGAGCTGCTGCTCTTTCTCCTGCAGCATCTGCTTTGTGCTCTGCTGCCACTGCTGCAGCTGCTCCTGCAACTCCTAAAACAACAACAGCAACAAGATCAGCTGCTGCTGCTTCTGCACCTGATTAATATGAAAAATCATAAAACGAGCAGAACACAGACAAATGTTTTACTAAGATAAACTGCTGGTGCCAAACATGACCAACAACTTAAAGAGCAACTCAACAATAAATGCACTCTTTTGAGTTCATTAATTACATGTGCAGTCACTTTCTTACACTATCAACTGATTCTGGTCCCATTCTACACTGTTCATTATAACAGAGGTATTCATTTGCAGAGAAAATCCAGTAATTCTTCAGTAAATCTTCAACACCGCCTAGAATTCTGTGACATACACTAGGCAGTCAGCAGTGGAGACGGTAGTATGGAGTATGAAAGATTAAGTGTGCAATTGATGTAACAATACATTCAAGATTCGATACACTTCACAATAACAGGGCTCATGATATGATTTACTCACAATGTTTTTGACAAAATGAGATTGAATCTATTACAAAACTGCAAAACAATGCATATTTCCTTTTCTTTGTAAAAGTGAAACTGATCTCTTTGCGCCTTGATACCACGATTGATATCATGATTCATTTCTACAGTGTTAGAGGCAAGTTAATAATCATGATAATAGTAATAATACATTTATTTTATATAGCACTTCAAAAGGTACTCAAGGGCACTTTGCATGGTAACAAAAAGGCAATAGAACAGCATAAGAAAAAGTAAAACAGCAATAAAAAAACACCCTCTCTACCACTCAATAACATCACCTGTTGACCTTTTGACAACATTGCCTCTGGTGCATCTGCTGAAACCTCAAGCAAAAATGATGTAATAAGTTCCTCTTTAAACAGACGATACCAGCAGGGGGGGAACCACAGGGGGCTTTTGCTGTGTCAACAAGAATCTGGCTAGCTGAATACAGGTTCAGCTCAACTGTAGCTTGCTGGGGTTTAACACAGCTGAGTACAAAGGAGCGGAGCTTATGTTGAAGCATTTTGTTATAAGACCTGACTTTACTGTTTGCCACATCCTCCTTGCAGATAAAGGACTTGTGCTGGTGCATTCATTGATAAATGATTATAAGGTCATTGCCATTAATTAATCAATCAGTTTGTTGCTTTAAAGGTCCAGTGTGTAACATTTAGGGGGATTTAGTGTCAGAAATGAAATATACTATTTAGAGGTATGTGTTCATTAGTGTATAGTCAGAGCAGGTCCAGGTTGCTGCAGTAGCCCAAATAGTGCTTATACTGGACTATGATGTTCAACCTCTGTTAAACCAGGGTCGGTATATAACAAATAAAGAATGCTCAAACTTAGATGTTAAAGAAGATCTTGGCTGAGAGCTGAATTAAGACACATTTATCAAGCAACTTACTCCTTACAGCAAAGTGTAAGAGTGACCTTTCAGAGCCACTTAAAGTGATCACGTGATTAATCACCTACGTTCAGAGCATATTTGATAAACAGCTTTTATTCTTAAGTTTGCAAGTAAGAGTTAAAGTGAAATTTTTACTTTTATCTTTCACTTAAGTTTCAGTTTTAGCAGCTTGGTAAATACAGTTCCTGGTGAACCACAGGTTGAACTTCAAGCTCAGGAACAGTGACCTCGAGTGGCAGTGAGAGGATTTCTACAGGATGCAAGAACTGGATACATGTTAAACCTAAACATTATAATTGTAATATCATTAAAAAGTGAATAACCGACCTCAAGTTGATTTTGCAGGAATGTCTCTGACTCTTCATGAACTCTCCTCTCGTCCTTCAGCTGTTTGTGCAGCATCTGAGAGAGAATGAAATGACAGATGACATGATTTGGACAACTTTTAACTCTGGAGTCTCGGTGTGCATTTGTTACTCTATAAGTTTGAGAAAAATGTAAGAGCACTGGTCATCTGCTTAAGAAGAGAACAAAGAGCAGTACAGAGATCATGTCTGCACTCTCATGTCTGTTTCTGCGGGCTTGGTGGGTAGGAGGTCTAACCCACACTGAACTGGAACTGATTCTGGACCCACCTGCAACTGGTCCTCCAGCAGCTTCTCGGCCTGGCTGTTCTCCTTCTGTGTCTGCTCAAGCTTCAGCTCAAGGTTTTTCTCCACAATCTTCTTCTTGTTGGCCAACTTTGATGACTGCAGATTCAGCTGATACTTCAGGTCTCTGGAGAGGAGGTCCATGCCCTGAAGGGGGGCAGTTATGAAGTACTGCATTCACCTTCAGACTAACATGTTTGATTTTGTTCTTAAACAAAGGGTCAGTTCACCAAAATGGACAGATTCACTCGTGGTTTTTGGATCTGCTCTTAGTTTCTCACCTGCAGTTTCTCTACTTTCTGTTGGACCTCATCTTTTTGTCTCAGCAGTTTTTGTCTTCTCAACTCCAGCTCTCTCATTAACTCTCTGGGTGGACAGACTCACATTACTGATACGAAACACACTTTCTCCTTTTAGTACACCTGAAAAGATACTGTCTAGTGTAAGGAGGAAATCTGCAACATGAGAAAAAACAGGGCTCTTATTGCACCCCCTTGTGTAGAGAAACTTGTTTTCCTATCCTCCCACTGTCTACTTAATGAACCCCATACCTTACTTGATAGGGTACTTCATTTGCTTCTCTGTCTGTCTTTTTCATGTGTATTTGTTTAAGGAAAATATGGCTATTTTGCTTCAATACAGACATCTTTTTTAAAAGAAATGCAAACAATTAATCAATTCATTAATTAGTATGGTTTCCAGATGAAGCAGGGATGAACCTTCTTATGTTCTCATCCACCTTCTTCTGCTCCACTACTCCCACCACCTGCTGCAGAGAACTGAAACTCTGCTCCTCCTCCAGCTCCAGATGCAGCGTGGAAACCTGCTGTGAGATGTACTGACTGCACAGAGAGACAACGCAGTCAGAAAAATGTTGATGCCACATCATGTTTTTGGTCCGTTTGTCTGTATTACTCACCAGTCCCTCACCAGCTTGGTCAGCCTGGCTTTCTCCTAAACACACACACACACACACACACACATCATTTTGGTTAGAACGTTTGTCCACAAAATGGAGAATAACCTGGCATAAACACAGTGAAATCATCATCAGATCAAAGCAGACAGCTGTTAGTCAGATGTTCCTCAGTGAACATGGACAGGTCACCTGTGCTGTTGCAGTGCCTTGCTCCCAGTTGATCTGCACTGTCAGAGTGTGTCCCAGTATGTCCAACTGGTCTGAACAGTCCTCCAGTACAGCTGCCAGTCTGAGACTCTGAATCCTGGATAAAGACATCCTGTAGATGCACACACACACACACACACACACACACACACACACACACACACACCGATGAGCAAGGTGAATAAACATTTCTTTTAAGTTAGTGCTAGCATGCTGCTATCCCAAAACTTAAGGAATGTGGTGTTTCAAGAGCTAATTGTCAAATATTTATCAGGAGAAGAACTATAAATAGAACACAAGACATTTACTTTGATCGATAAGTAAGATAACCTCAAACTAACAGATATCTACAGTGGTGTCTGGTGTGAGTTAGCTGTCAGTTGTGAACTCCCTCAGTGGGTAGCATGGTGCTAGCCTACGTTAACTATCCGTTTCAGAGGAAAACTCAATAGCAACTGCAAAAGATGACAACAGTCCCTTACTTCAGTTCTCACTCTCACTCCGGGTAAATAATCAAATATCCTTCAAGAGAAGCGACATTATTTTTTTTAACAGCACAGCTAGCTACTAACGTTAGTTATTAGCAGTTTCACGGTTTTCATGTCACTATGGTAACAGTGGACTCCCGCTGGGGGGCGGGGCGGTGAGCTCTGGGTGGATCATCATACTGGTATAATTATTAGAGACTGGTTGGATAGCTTATCCAAAGAGTGACTGACCCAATACGAGTAGTATGCGAGTTGTATAAAAGAAAAAAAGTTGCTCTAGAAATTGAGTGCATCAATCAGTCAAACGTATTTATTATATAGCACATTTCATTCAGTGTAGTGCAGTTCAAAGTGCTTCACAGACGATAATGAGACAGAATGGAGTAAAAATTAAACAAGGTAGGTATAACGATATTATTTTATTCTTAATTTTTTATTTAATTTTTAGTTATACTCAAACAAAAACAAAAAAAAATTAAGAAAGCAGGCAGAAATAACACATAAAACAATAATAAAAAAAAATCTATTTAAAATCAATTTACTATTTTAAAATAAAAGTATAGTAGTAGTAAAATAAAAGCCAGGCTGCATATGGGTATATGTGTATATATATATGTGCTGTCAGTGGTGCCTGTTGATATTTCCATGTGTAACAAAGTTACAAATAAACCGTTCAACAAATGAAGTTGCCCATGGGAAATCATTTTCAACATATTGTGGGTTTAAAAAAACTATTAAACAACACTCATTTAAGAGACCGCTGACAAAACTCTATTTCCATATGTTTATATATTACTTCTACTCTTTATGTACAATATGCAATATTGCAATATGTAATAAAGTAGAGTACCGAGTAGATGCATTAACCAGCTATCACTTACACTCTCAATGAGTTGGCCTCTACATTATCTTTCTTGACTCTACTTTGAAGGATGAACTAGCATCTAGCAGCAAAGTTACATATTGCAGCTAACTGAACACATCTGTATTTGAAGATGTTGGAATGAGAACGGGCTGTAAACTGTGTAGGACAAAAAAACACAAAAGGCCATATCTACAGCCAGTGTTCTGTGCTGCTGTAGAAACATGCTGGTTTGACATGGTGGACTCCAAGGAAGGCAACCCTGTGTAGATCAAAACATCTTATTCTAAGGGAACAAAAACACAACAATTCCTATATTCAGGTGATTATATGAATATTATATTTCATTTCTGCCAATAGATTCTAAAGAAAATACATGACAAAGAAGATATGGATACTCTGATCAGGTATTGCATTACAGTTTATTCTTGTAGTCATCATTTGTTGCACTCTCTGCAGGGAGTTACAGCTTGAAGGTAATACAGACTGAAGGTACAAGCTACACCATAGTACATGCATGAGGCTGTCATACTGTGAGGTTTCTTGTGTGGACTTCCCACTCCTCCCCTGAACACACAGTACTGGGATAGTTTCCCTCTCAGAGACACAGATCTACAGCAGTCTCACTGTCAAGATACCATTGAGGCAACACAGAGCTGATCTACAAATAAACCATTAGAAACAAAGTATGTACAGTTACAGTAGATGACTGTTCAACATATGAGTGCGATCATAAAAGGCAATTCTTAAGGCAGAAACATCTTAAGGAGGGAAATGAGGAATGTGATGAAGAATCAAATAGACATCCAGGCCACAGGTCAGGTACTTCTTCCTGCCAATGAGACTCTGAATGATGGAGAAATCATAAAGGCGTTATATTAAGACTTACAGTGTGTGTTGAACGGCAAGACAGTATGTTGTTATTATTTGCAGTGAACTGGGTTTCATAAAGTGTACAGCTGTACAAAAACATCAACATGAGGCGTTTTATTATGACTAATCTTTACACAATACAAATACGAGTCAGGAACTTAATGTAAAGAAAAGTGAAGGAGTTAATACATACTATATATTTACCAACGCATTCATTCATAGGTATTTAAAAATGCAAAAATATGCCGGTATTTCCTGTAAATGATTAAAAGGCAAGTCTGAAAAATCTTGATTGTTGTTTCTATACCTGCTTGTTTGCACATCTGAGTGATTTAAGTAAAAATAGTTGTTTATTACGAACGTACAGTGTAAATGTATGGTTAAGAAATGCGCTTAAAGGGCCTCAAAACATATTTCTTTCATCTGCTTCTCACTATAAGTAATAGAGTCCAACATGAACACAACATTTTTTTTTTTCATGGGAGATGTAGGCTATAGTATTTTTTTTAGCTTGGACACTAAATATCTCAGCCTCTGCAGCTTCAAGTCCCCTGACTTCATGTTAGAGCAATGCTAAGATCGATCGCAGTCAATCGACCTAATGGAATCCTAACCACACAGTCCTTATGAAGCAAATCAGCAGAGTGTTAAACTCTTAATGCTTATTTAGTCTTGAATATTTGCACTTTTTTAAACGTCATTTTGCTGCAAGACGGCTGTAAACATACATCAATGGGGAATGACTTTTCCTTGGGTGACATACAGGTTAGGAAGATGTTATTATTTGGCACTAAATCTGCATAAAAACAGATTATGTTTTCTGACAAAATGAAAAAAACAGACACAAAGACTTTTCCTCTGCTTTCTCAAGAAAATCCGAAACATGCTCTCAAGCATGCTTCGTGAAGATGAAAGTGGAGGAAAGTCTCATTGAGCGTCATAAGCTAAATAAAACAAAGGGTGACTTTTCATCGAACAATCATTTACTGTACACACACGTAAAAAACTAAATTAAAACCCATACAAAATGTACAGTTTCATATTCCATATTTTCTTGAGTGTCACTCTCAGTTTACAACGCGATCTCTTTGCAGGCCTTGTGTCTTCTGCAGTGCCAGCGCCTGAAGAAGTCAAACACACATCAGTCCTTCTTGTGCTTATTGATTTGAGTGTGAGTTGGGTTGGACCGCGCTGTTGTGCCATCAGAGGAGAGGGATGTCATTCCACTTTGAGGCATTGCCATCACAATAGTGCTTGTCTCTTTACTCAAACACTGTGGCCAGAGATTAAAGGATCATCTATGATATGGTAAAAAAAAAAAAAAAAGATTGGCAGATCTACAGTATATGTCTGAAGAAGCTGTACATGGTGATCAGGACACAGAAACAAAAACCACATTGTCCACCGCTGAGGTTCACATCAGCCTTCTGACAGCTTAATCTGAATGTATACACTTACTGTAAGATCATATCCAGTGTTGAGTCTTTATAATTGTGCCATTGGAGCTGGAAGCAGCCAGAGATAGAGAGAGATAAAGAGTTTTAGATCTCCTTGATTGTTCGTTCAGAGGGCCGGTACTCCTCCCTTCCTTTAGGGGAGGACAAGTAAAAGGACTGGGTCTTGCGTTTTAGGCGAGCTCTCTTAGTGGCCAGGGACAGGCTGTGCTTGCTGGAGGCGATAATGTCAGTGATGAACTTCTTGCAATCCACACACACCTCCATGGTGGCCCAGTCCTCTGTCAGCTCCGGGGGAAGCTCCAGTTCTTCATGGGACTTTAAGGAGCCGTGCTTAGAAAGCCTACATGGGACAGATAAAGAGGACAGCTTGGCATCAACAGGATCAGAAAACCACTTTGACTCATTGTCAAAACTACCCAGGGTATGTGGTCATGGGCAACCCAGTCCGTGGGTGGTCGTAAATAAATGCTGTGAATGGTCAACCTAATTACAAAAAAAATATTTTTGACTAACCTGTAGTCGTATCTACTCATGTGAATTATTTATTATATTTATTTATCCAGGTGTTGATACGAGTTCACCTCAATAAGGCTTTTTTTTTAACTTCTTAACTGGTATTTTTTGTAAAATTATTTAAATTATTTTATCTGGTATTGGGTTTTTATGTTTTGAGTTTGATTTACCTTCTATTCTATTTGATTGTTGACAGGAAGGTTTAGGTTTAAGTAAGAGTAACAAGGACACTGATTCTGGAGAGAGATGGAGGTATCAGTTTCAGAGACAGATAACTCAAAAGCTGTGCAAGTAGCCAAAAAGCCAAAACTATCTGTATAGTTTGATACCACTGATCATAGTACTTTTCAGCCACTAGATGTCACAGTGACAGTGCACTACAGTCCAAAGATACACACTGGATATTTGAGGCAGGTGTTGAGGACAGATTGTCCCCAAGCAGCAAATACTAAGATTGAATGCCTTTTAGTCTATGGTTTATGTATTTTCTACATTGTGTGATTATGAGCAAATGTGTCCTCAGCTTTTTGTATCATAAGCAGCATTTTGGAAGTGCAGTTAATGTCTTTTAATCTATGTACATTCACTGTGGTACAGTATGTGTTTTAATCCACTGTACCAATACATACCAATACAGAGTCTTTCTTTGTATTACATCAGGACATAAATAATGTGGTATCTTCAGTCTGAGTAATGTGTGTTCGTAGCTCTTACTTGGAAATGGTCTTCTGAATGCCGTGGCGCTGTGGGCTACTGGAGGATTTCTCAGATTTAGCAGCAGCTGCTGCTCCAGAGGCTTTTGCAGCTCCTTTAGATGCTTCTGTTGTCACTCCTCTCAAAGTTGGGGATGCTGAGGCCCCTTCCACTGCTGATGGCCCCGGCCCTGCAGCCACAGAGAGACCTTGTCCTACAGCAGCAATGGCACTTACCCTGTCCCTGGGGAGAGTGTTGGTCGAGCCGATGGAGTAGATGGGCAAGCTGGAATAAGGTTTGGATGGCAGCCGCATCTGTTAGAGAGGGAAGACATGAATACTGATGAAAACTGGAGGTTTATATTTATATCACATCCTCACTTCACAACTCATAGGTTAGGTATTCAGGTGTCAGATTTTTTTAAATCTTCGTTAAACTACTTCAGTATTTTCTTACAACATAGTAATGATGCAAAACAGGAAAGATATCTTTGAGAGAATCAGTAATAAAATATGATGGAAATAATGTTTTAACTGATCTAAAGAAAGATACACTGTTAAATTTGCAAAGTGTTTCCCATTTTGAATTTGGCACCACACTACTGTGAGCTTACTGATCTGTACAAATGGAAGCAGGATTTCATGCTGCACGGGCAGCTGATCGGCCTATTTGACTTACCTTTTTGCAGCACTGTGAACACACAGGCCTGCAAGGAGAAAAGAGAGAGAAAACAGAGGATGTGATGAATGAAAACAGTAACACTTCCTTCCAGTTAGTTTCCCTTTAAGAAAAGATGAAGATAATGTAAGTAAGATGTTTTACTTTTTGCAAAACTGGCAGATGTAGGACCAGGTGAAAAAGGAAAACCTTTTGGTTCGACAACAGAAGCAAAGCTGAAATACAAAAAAAAAAAAGATGAAGAAGAAGAAATTAATGCAAACATCAAAATATTTGACCAAATGTACAACTGTAACTGATGGCAGGTTAATGCATTCACTTGGTGTTTTGTACTGGAAATAATACAAGCAAGGTGTGTAGTTACCTTTCCCTTCTTCATAGCGTTGTAGATGTCTTTGTACTGCTGGAACTTCTCCAGTTCTGCCTTAACCAGCACCTGTCTGATGTGCATCACTTCCTCCACGGTCAGAGACAGGCACTCCACGGGGAAACAGAACTCCTCCTGCAACAACACACACACGTTTATGTAGACACACACACAACAGTGAGTGACTCTGGCAACAGCCGATCCAACACACAGGGCTCAGTGTTTATCATTCAGTACACAAGCAGCCACCCCTCTGCACCTTTCAGAGCAGCCTGTGTCGGTCCAGACTGCATTTGGGTCTTAAAAGATGTTCTCATTGTTCACTGAAGAAAAAGGCAGAATCAGAGAGGGCTCATGATGCTTAAAAAACTGAAGTGATGGAAAGACATGATTCCAGCGGCAGTGCAGGGCAGCAAACTGGGCCGTAACTGTTTTTTTATATTTTCTGTAATTATGTACATCCCTATACATATATATTTATTGCCCTAGAGAATATGTGCTATTTTGTCATTAGTGTGGTGGTTTATATGTTGGTGTGACTGGGTTGTGATTGACAGGTCACAACATACATTCAAAGAAAATTGTTATTAGTTTAATGTAAAAAAAATAATTTCAAAACCCCCATTAATGAACTTCCTGTCATCATTGCAGTGCAGGGTGGCCTGATTACCAGTGCATCTGTCTGGAGGAAACAGAGGAACAGGTAGAACACAGTCCAGAACAAGTCTCTACTGGGTTTGCGGATGTTTCAGAGGAACAGCCAGCACCCAGCCCAGAGATAGACTCTCCTGTGACCCCCAGTTCTGAACCTTCTGCTACCACTGCTGTCCAGGAAAACTGGACTGTAGCTTCAGCTGCACCAGCCATTCAAACCCCGCTCAATGACCTTCCTGTTGCCATTGCAGTGCTGGTTGAACTGACTACTAGTGCTAAAACTCCTGCCAACATCGGCCTGGAGGAAACAGAGAAACAGCAATAAAACAGTCCAGAGCCAGACTCTACTGGAGTTCCTGATGCCGCAGAGGCCACAACCAGCCCTGCTGAAGGTATGGATGAGGACAGAGAAACAGTCTCTGCTGTCGTTACTCCTCCATCAGCTCCTCTGACCACCAGTGCTAAACCTCCTGCCGTCACTGCTGTCCAGGAGGATTTAACAGTCAGCCAGATTGAAACAGTACAGCAGCCAGAACCCAGCCCAGTACCAGACTGTGGTGTGGCTTCAGCTCCAAAAGCTGCTCAGACCCCCTCCGATTAGCTTCCTGTCATCACTGCAGTGCAGGATGACCTGACTACCAGTGCGGAACCTCCTGCCAATATCGGCCTGTAGGAAACAGAGGAACAGCCAGCACTCAGTCCATAACCAGTCTCTACTGTGGTTGATAATGGTGCAGAGGACAGAACCAACCCTGCTGAAGGTATGGATGAGGAGCCTGGTCTGGAGGAGAACAGAGTCTCTGCCGTCACTACTCCTCCACCAGCTCCCCTGTCTACCAGTGCAGGACCTCGTCCACAGTGCCATCCACAATGGCTTGAACAGTAGTCTGGATGAAGCAGACAAACTGGCAGCACCAAGCCCAGACAAAGACTTGGCTGTGGCGTCACGTCCTCCTCCTCCTCTGACTCCTCCTGCTTCAGTTGGAATGCTGCTGGATGGCGAGGATAACTGTGAGGAGCCCACATGAGAACCAGACTCTGCAGTGGTTTCTGCTCCACCAGCTCGTCTCCCTGCGCCTAATGTTGCTCCTGACCTGACCATCAGCCAGTATGAGGCCAAAATGAAGACTGAGGGTGGAACCCAAGGCTTCCTTGGTTGGCTCAGAAACACACTGTACTGCTGTTTCTAGTTTGCAGACACAGACTGAGACTGAATTTTTCATGTTCCTATTTTGAACAATAAATTCATTGTTGCATTGCAGTCAGTTTGCATCAGGTTTATTTACTGTGACTTATTTGGATTCACTGTATGTTACAGTACAGTAAAAGCATTGTTCTTAAAAAGGTGGAATGTGTAATTCATCTCATTGTCAGAGAGGCAAGTAAGTCAGAAAGTTTGATTTCAAAACTCTAATTTTTAGGTACGCATATGTATAAACAAACATTTGTGACCAATGATCAATTTCACACAACTGTGACCCTGTGTACTGAGTAAGACATTTACAGTGTCAAAATAGACTTGTCAATGCTCTCTAGTGGACAAACTATGTGAAAACAGTGACGCTGTTTCTTAATTATCTTAAACATATCTTTAGGATTTCTGTGCTGCAATTTCGTACAGCCAAAATAAACTTGTAACATATGTATGTAATTTCGCTGATTTGTCAGTCTAGCTCTAAATAAACAGACATGGTATATTCATGTTGGCGATGGCATCCCGGTGAAAACCTTTTTAAAAGTCACACATCATGAGTCACTGACTGACTCTTGTAGTAAAAGTTAGTGCACTGTTACTCCTGCTGATCTCATGACTCCTGACAGCTACAGTACGCTGCTTTGTAACTGAACCAGAGTCAAGGAGGAGAGGAAGCATCAGACAACTTCAAATGTTGTTTTAAACAGTGTCTTCATATTTATAGTGTCACAAATAAACCAAAACATGGCATTTTGTAAATGTATCCCACCACTAGCAGACAACTGATTTGTTCAACACTAGAGCAGATTTGAATTAATTAGAGCTGCAACTACCTACTTGGGTTTGAGTGTTAAAAGATGATCAAAAGCAGTGAAGTGAATGATTATTAAATAAATTATATTGCTAATTAGCTGTGTAATCACACCTCAGATAAAAAGCAGTTATCCTCGGTCTAAGGCAGCAGCCTGCTCTACAGGCAAATGATCTCTAGTGAAGCAGGAAGCATTAGAATAGGATGGGCAGCTACAGTTATTATGCCAGGACGGACTTATGGAGACTGGCAAACCTTAGCCGACTCTCTTCCTCTGATGTAAATGCCCTTGCACAGAGCAAACACTGCCTTCATCAACCCCAACACAAATGTTTCGATAGGGTGGGAGCTCCGCAAAGGGTGTAGAGTGGAGGGAGAAGGGCGGAGGAGGAGGAGGGGGCTCCAGGGACGATTTGAAGCTATCATTCCAACCTGAGCAAGAAAAGGTGAAGGAGTGTGTGGGGGAGAGGAAGAGAAGGGTTCCTCCCGTTTCTCAAAGAAGTCACAACAGGAGATATTGTGAGCATACACAGTGGATTTAGTGACAGGAAAAGGAGAGAAATGCAGGCAGACACACGCAAATAAAAGGATAAGAGAGGTGATAATGAGTATTTCGTTTCAATCCCTTCTCATTGGCTTCTCTGTGATCCTGATGCTCACCTTCCCCATTTGTTTTCCTTATTACGTTACTGGACATGATCTGTGGTCAGAGCTGGGTTAAAACTTTGCCAGGCTACACTGTCCTCAGACATCCCACTGTAATACACTCTAATACTGTTGCACTATTTGTTGTTTGTTAACTTGTACTGCTCTTATAAACAGTCTGAAAATAATAAAACCTAAATAAATCATTCTTAGCCTCTTTTTTGTGACTTTAGTATTTTTTGGTACATTTCACCTACTGAGGATTTACAGTTTGCAAGGAAATGTCTGACTCACCAGAGACTTGGAGCTCTTTTTGCAGGGCGGCTGAAACTGTCGTACGTTGGTTGGGGTTTCCTTCTCGATGGAGTGTCTCCTTTGCGGGGTCTGACGTCTCTCTGGCTGGGGTGTAGAGGAGATTGGCAGGAACATGGGGGGAGCTGGTGTTCACACAGAAAATAGAGGTAAAATAAAGAAAGAGAGGCAGCTTAATTGGAAAGTAAAATCTCAGGAAAACATAGCTGGCGAGGCTGTAAGATTAAAACTCATCGATCGCTGTCAGTGTATGGTTTAGTTGAGGGGCCGACTGAGCTGTGACAGGGATGTAGAAATATTTCCTGACTCACTTTTCTTCCCCAGCGCAGACTCTGGGGACGTATCATCCATCAAAGATGTAGCCACACTGGAGCTGCTGGCCGATCTGCGCCCAACAATCTCATCCTGAGTGAATGGAATACACAAGCACTTCAATCAATATTTGCTCCGCACGAGCCACATGTGAATTCTAAAGATCCATCCCAATCACACAAACTCATACTGACGTCAGAGTCAGAGCTGTCCAGCTCGGCGAGGCTGGGGGCCTTCAGGAGCCTCTTCCTCTGAGGAACAGAGTGAGATCCAGATGGCTCTGCCCTGGGAGATGCTGATCCATTGGTCAGGGACAGACTGCTGGACGTCCTCCTGCCCATGTATGGACTAAACTCATCTGCACACAGCCACACACAAGAGAGGGCAGTTCAGACAAAAGGAGGATAAGCACTTGAGATGGATCTCAAAACACTTCCTCATATGATTCCTTGCATCCTGTGTTATTTTTTTTAATCTATTTTGACTCTTGTGCCCCCTAAAACAGGGGACTGAATTTAAATCACAGTGTCATTGAATGGGATGTGAGGTGAAAAGATGCATTGAATCTGAGTACTGAGGTTTGAGATCCATCCCAAGGTTAAAGAGGTCAGGTAGGGTGAGTTAAGTTGATGGGAGGTAGAAGAGCAGGCTGGTGTTACACACAGAGCATGAATGCCACTTTCATGAAATATTTAACCTCTGAACTCCTAAAATGGGATTCTGTCTGCTGACAGCCTCTGTGGTATTTTTGGGGGAGCTGAATCCTTGAAACCAAAAGTCCTAATTGACTAACAAGGTCATTCTGCACTGACAGAGCAGTTGTTAGGTCCACTGATAAACAATCCATGTTAACAAACCACCTACCACACTGCCTGACTCTAGCTGTGGTTTCTAGGGGCGCAAAATGGTTGAAAAGAAGGTTTAGGGGGAGGGAGGGAGTGCGGGAAGAGGAGAGAGAGTGCTGTAAAAGACAGATAAAGAGCTGCAGCTGATAGGATCTATGGGAGCCCTGAAACCCCTCTCTGTTCTCCTTTCAGTCTCTTCTCTTGTCTGTGGGAAAAGCATCCACATGAGCTCATTGCCTCTGCTGCTGGACTAGAACTGTCTTTCTACAACTTAGACACCACGTCACCAGGATTTACACTTTACTAAACTCAAACAAACCAGCCATAATTGAACACTCTACCTGTGAATTGGCCAGGCTTCAGTATTCAAATATTTAAATAGAAGAGATATTAGTTTACAGCCAGGGAGGCAGACAGACAAGGCCATTAGGTTAAGGGTTAACAAGGCCTTTCAAACCACAGCAGCTCATACTTTACCTAGTCCAGTACGGAACAAATCCTGTGGCATACTGCGAGTTTTGCCAAAACCTAAAAGGGGACACCTCCTTTGTTAGGATAGCTATAAGAATATTCCACCACCAAAGGCAGCTGCATGAGCACATACATACAGTAGGTTTAAAGTGTCTTTCAACTGTGGTATATGTGCAGCCACACAGATTTGCTGCATATAATTTGGGGTAACACTACTGTGGAGGGTGAACTTTTGGGGATTTCCTGTGTAACTGTCGAATGTTTAAATGTTCAAAGAAATCCTGGTAACCCCAAATTCCGATAACAATTTCTGAACATACCCAAATCGGATGTTTTTTGTGCCTAAACCTAACCAAACCTTTATTTGTGAAACAGCTCAATTGTTGAATCTCAACTTAAAATGTTACAAATACTCTAGACTGTCTGTAGGCGGACTATCCAAATAAAGTGGAATAGTAGTTCAAGGTGCTTATTTACTTTCTTACGGAAAATTAGATGAGTAGATCGATACCACACTTGTGTCTGTGCGTTAAGTATATAGCTAGAGCGAGGGGTTGATAAGTGTAGCTTAGCGTAAAGACTGGAAACAGGTGGAAACAGCTAGCCTGGCTCTGTTTAACGTTAACAACATCTGCTTAGCAGCACCTGCAAACCTAGCTAATTAATTTGTGCAGGAAGACATCCGGAAAAGAGAAAATTTAAAAACTATAACTTAACGTTTTTTCATTTCTCTTTGTGTAACTGTGGACAGAGCCAGGCTGCTTCACTTATTACTCCCTGCTTAGAGTAATTAGTTACACTACTAGTTATATTAGTTTTCCCACAAAATTAGTCATTGTATCCCTTCTTCCCAAAATTCAAACTAATGATTATCAAAATCCAGTTTTGTTTGTTAAAATCAAAGCAATGCATATATTTCCAGCCACTGAATATAAGAGTCTTCTCCATGTTCCAAGGTAGTTTCCTCCACGATTATAAAAATGAATCCAAGGATGTGATGGGGGTAATATTATTCTTAGTAATCAAATACACTACTAGTTACTGGGGAAAGTAATATTATTACTGTAATAATTTTAGCAACGAGTTACTGCCCAGCACTGCCTACTTCTAGTGTCATATTTACTGCACAGAGAGTGGTATCAATCTCCTCATCTACCTCTGGGCAAGAAAGTGAATAAGCATATCTCCAAAATTTCAAACTATTCAAGAAGTTGTTAATAAATTATAAACATTGCAATGGGACACACCATCTCCATTTTGGCAGTTGGCAGGGAATGAAAAAAAAAAACCCACCACCAAACAACAACAAAAAAAAAACAACCCAGAAGTACATACATCACCAAGAGTTGTGTAACAACAGTGTTTATATCTTGTGAAATGGATTTCTCCTTGAAGCAGCATTTTCTTGTTCCTGATTAAAACCTTAATCATGTTCATTAAAGTGTCAGTGGGTATGTACCATCTCCCCCTGAAATATAGAGTCAAACTGCTCACTCCATATGAGAATGATCCATTACAGAGGGCAGTCCGTACACACACACGAACACACACACACAGATTTTCGGACAGTATGAATGAGTAAGCGTGAGGTGATAAAGCTTGAGCTGTGATGAGAGACACTGGCTTCAGTCAGAGGGAAAGGGGAGCACAGCATTATTCTGATCCGCCTGCCTCAGCAGTATTTTCTTATCACCTCAATCAAAAGCTGTCTCATCAAATTGGTCATACGCATTTAAAGCTAAACACATGCCACTGCTGAAAGAACATAACTCAGTTTACTGAGCGTCCTGTGCTGTGCACACTGATCCATCTGCACCCTGATTCAATTCTGCAAAGTCACTGTGGCACATGAAAGACTCTTTTGTATGAAGTTGATGATTCTTGAGGTGGCAGGAACTCTTTGGCCTGTTCCCTTTCACTCCTTGATTAGATGGCTGGCTGCACACACTTCTACTTAAGATTCACATTACAGCAGTGTATTTGACAGATGATGCACTTAGAAAAGGTGACACTTTTCCTGAGTGTTTAGAGATCAGCAGCAACAACCAGGAACATTATTCAGGATCCTGGGCATTTGTTTGACAGGAGCTGCAGATAAAATTGACTTGTATGAGCTTTACTTTTAAGACAGCTACAGTTCTATCATTCAGTAGGATAATAACATCAAAATGATGTCCTCCAAAGAAAGATTTGAAGTGCACTGAGGCAGCAATAGTGCCATTTCACAACTCTTCCTTCAGAATTCCGCATAAGCATAAGTTGTAGTCAGCAGTAATAAAACTAAAAAAGAAACAATGACATTGTAAATATAACTCAGCTGAATAATACTATATCATTAAAACCATCACTGGCCTTTAATTAAGTATGTAAACTCTGGCGTAGTTACAGTAGCATCAAGAGCAGTACAGCACTTTAATAGTCCAACAAAAAGTAACATTGATGGAGCTGGTTCCTTCCTAAGGTTGCAAACAAGGACCTCTGACTAACAGCAGGGCCGTAGGCAGCCAGGAGTCCAAGTCCCTCAATGCAGTTGTTCTTGTTTCACTACAGATAAACTAATGCATTGATTGTGGTGGATCTATGGCTGTACATGTGAATCCAAGAAAAGGCATAAGGATCCTGGAGTTGTCAAAGTTTCTTGAAAAAGTTTTTTTTTCCAGTAGGTTCAGTCAAGTTTGCTCTCATACTACTACCGCTCAGAGGGCCAGAAGCTGGATGTTTTCAAGCACTATTTTTTATCAGTGCTAAAAGTAGTAAAATGTGAATATACTGAGTAGCATCAAAGGTCCAGTGTGACCACTTGGAGGCATCTAGTGGTGAAGTTCAAGATTGAAACAAACTAAATAACTGCTCGCCTTCCAAGCATGTAGCAGAAACTCGCAAAAAATGTAAAAGGCCCTATCTAGAGCCAGCGTTTGGTTTGTCTGTTCTGGGCCACTGTAGAAACATGGCGGTTCAACATGGCAGACTATATGGAAGAGGACTACTCCCTCTGTACATAAAAACTGCTCATTCTAAGGTAACAAAAACACAACTGTTCTTATTTTCAGGTGATTATAGACTAATGAAAACATAGTTATGAATATTGTATCTAGTTTCTGCTAATAGATCCTTAACACACCGGGACCTTTTAATACCCACCATGTATAAGTTGCAAAACCCCCAAAATTGAATTGATCAAATAAATCAAGTCTGTGACTACAGCTCTACTATGTTTGTACTGTGACTGAATGTCCTGTGTGCCCATTCTGCCTGGTCAATGTGTCACTCATCAGTTTGCTCTCACCAGTGTCCTCCTACTGACCAGTGTCCCACATCACCATGTTTCACCTCCACAGACCACAGCCAACCATCACCAACCACTGAAGCATGATGTGAAATGTGTGTGCAGTGCGTTGATACAGTACGTTTGATGTGTGTGCAGAGTGTGCAGGCTGGTAGAGCAGCCACAACAAGGAGGGAAACAGAAAGAGATAAAAGGCCAGGTAAGCAGACTTTACCTGACGCATCAAAACTGAAAGACATGCTAAGTGGCCGAATTACTGCAACGAGAAACAGTCATGGCATCGGACATCGGTTATTGCTTGTGATTAGGAGGCAAATGAAGGCAAGACTTAACAGTAACACATTAGAGGTTGTAATCTGCTTGTATTTGGCAAGAAATGCAGGGGTATAGCATGCTTTTTGTTTAGTTTTAGATCACTGAAGTATAACCACTTTCATAATAGGATTTGAAATAAGCCACAGCCAATGGTGAGAGATTACTGACATTGAGAAACAGTAGCAGTTTTAGCGTTGTTGGTGTTAACGGAATTGCAGACACTTAGCATTATTATTCATGTACAACTTTCTCTATATTGCAATGTTGACAACAAAACAATACTAGGCATTAGTTGCAACACAAATATGAGAAGTTACGACAGGCACAAACAATAGTGTAATAAAGTGTGAAAGGAACTAAAAAATAGCTCAAAATAATGAAGCTACTACACATTCCTCAGTTGAATTTAGTTGATTTGCACATGATGCCCAGCAGGTGCAAGCATCAGCTCCATACTTCAGCATAAAAAATACATTTCAGACTGAAGTATGTTTTCATGTGCATGTGTTTGTGTATGTCAGTGTGAAGCAAAGGTATAAAAATAACAAGGGACAAAGAAGCGTTGAGTTTCCTTACCCAGCCTTCCCCTGCGGACCTCACCAGGAGAAACCGGTCGAAGTTTCCTCTCTGCTTTGATTTCCTCCAGGATGCGCTCATGCAGTGTCGGCGGAGCCTGAGTCTGTGGCTTCAGCTTACGAGCTGACACCTAGTAAAAATATAAATAATGACAGAGAGGAGGTAGAGGGGAGCACAACAACTGACACAAACAAACAGCCAGCAGGCCTGTTCGTCACCACCTCCTCATATCTCCTGTGACTGATTGTTCTCCAAATTACCCAGAGTTCATCACCCTGCTGAAACAGCGCCTTCTAAAACAGCAAGATTTATATCAACAGAGAATTGATGAATGCAGCATTTCACTGAAACTTGAACTAGAAAGCTGCAACATTCCTATTTTACAGAGAGGTTGTGCTAGTTTTTAATATCATTTTTTAAACTCTTTTATATGATGGCGTTAAAGAAAGAGTGTCACCTACATACGGTTTAATGTGAATCATATAATGAGGCCTAAAAAAGCTGGAAACCACTGATAGCTGAATGTTTATTGATACTTTCATTTGAAGACAGTTCCCTAAACTGTTGGGATGGGTTGAGAGTCTGTGGTCTTCAGTTGTACTTACAGGGTTGAGAGGTGGTCTGGACCTGATGAACTCCAGGATGACTTCATGAGCACTCTTCTTTAACTTGGGTGGGATGTCTCCATTTATCTGGAAAAGAAAGAAAAATATGAAAAAGTTCAACACAGACGAGAAGACAGAATGTAATTTATTAACTGGACTGGACAATAGTTGAAGATCATGAACTCTAGGGAGGTGTGAAACTGCCTGTTGCAGGACTACCAAATCCAGAACCATAAATAGAGCTATAAGCTACAGCTGCAACTAGTGATTATTTTCATGATCAATTAGTCTGACAATTAGAATTAAATTAAATTAAAATTGTATTGGTTTATTGATTAATTCAGTGAAATACCCCAATTTTTCAGAGCCCAACGTTAACATCAGTGAAAGTATTGGGGGTTTTTTGTTTGTTAGGACAAGACAGCTTGAGAGATGCTAGGGTGCTAAGAAAGTCTTGTTTTGTCCAACGATGACTTGTATTTGCCATGTAACATGTATAGTTGGGATGAATCGAAGACATGGCACAATGTTCTACTACATTTTGTTAGACGTGTCAGCATTTTCTGACTGGTGACTTGTCCAGCAACCTAAGGTCAACAGTGTCAAAATAAAATAGGTTCAGGTCCTTCATATCACCAAATGAGTGAAACACAAGCAGTATCGCTCCAGCCTATAATTATTACGCAACTTTTTTTCCCCAAGTAATTTCCCATGGGACTGGAAGATAGTACAGCAGAAGTGCAGCAAGCAAGAGGCAGGCGTGTGATAATAATGTCTATGTGTAGTACAAATCGGACACTGACCATGACTTTGCGCAGCTTGTATCGTTTGGACCTGATGTCGTCCATGAGCATCTCGTAGGGAGTGAGCTGGTACTCGATGGGCAGAGGGTTGTACTGGCGCTCCTGCACCTTCTTCAGCTTGACTCCATCACGCAGGTCCCTCATCACCTGAACCCAGAATCGAGCCTGACGGAGGAAGCAAAGGGCAGCATGGGAAAGGGGAAGCAGAAAATACCACGACCCTTTGAATATGAATTGATCTGGACAATAACAATCATCTGTGCTCTGACCTCTCTGTGCACACAGAATAAGGAGGGTTCATCAAGGGGAGTGGTTCTATCCATCTCAACATGGTTCCTGAGAAGTTCTTTAATCACTGCCTATTTAGAGTGCAACATGCATTCATAAAGATTTCTGTATGTGAACATGCAATGTATGTAGAATCTTAAAAAAAAAAAACAAGGGGGGGGGGGTGCCCCTGTATTTCAGGTGAGTTTGATCAGGAGAAAGGATCAGTTAAAGCTGCAGATCAGTGGTCAGGGTCTCGTTACCCACCCAATCAGCATTCTGTAGCTCATTCAGGTCTCGGCTAGGGTCTTCTGATGACTCTTTCTCCATCTTACGCAGGTTCTGATGGATAGACAGAGAGACAGTTTGAATATAAAAAAAAGAAACCAGAAAGACAGATATCAGGAAATAAGCAAAAAAGCGACAATGTGGACCAATAAAGTCATGTCTCCAGTTCAATCATAGTTGTGCAAGAGAAAAATCTAATATGCAGACACTCAGGTGTCATTCAGTTTCAATTGAACACTTACAAACATGTAATGTCAATTATCACATAAACAGTTTCTTCACAAGAATGGTAATACCTGAAAACTGTCAGTCTATGACATAAAAGATAAAAGATCATTATAACTTTGACTGATATAGTTGTTTACTGATATGAGACTTTGAATTTAAAGAATGGGTAATCAGTGCTTGCAGACCTGCAAAGAATATACAACTCTGAGGCACTAAATATTTGTACGCTCTGGTTTTGCTGACTTTGACTTTATTTCTGTCCCATTGTTTTGGTCTAAGATGCTGGTGCTCTTGTGCCATATCCAGTGCCAAGTAAATATTGTATATATAACCTTTAACCATGAAAGCTGATAAATTCACTTTGTATGCAAGCTAGAAAAAAGAAGAAACATGGCATGAACACCTTGTTGTCAGCCACAGCAGTCAGCAGTAAGCCAAACTCCTCCACTGTGACACCTTTGTGAACCTGCGCAACGTGAAGCCATTAGTGTGTGGTAAAACACTGACAGCCTGACAGACAGCTTACTGTGGGAAACAAGGAGGCATTCCTCTGCTAGTGCTTTCAAAGTTCAACAGAGGACAATGTCTGTGTGTGTGTGCGTAACAGAGAAAGAGAGAGAGAGAGAGTGAGAGAGAAGGAGAAGGAAACGAAATATAACCAAAACTGTGTGAGCATTTTAAAAGAGTAGGCAGATAGAAGATGTTCCCTGTGGTTAATATTTGTGGAGAGACTGTTCTTGTAACGTCACAGCAGGGGAGAGTTTGATAAGACAGTCTGTCCAGCTGACTGCAGAGTTAAAACCTCAACCCACTGGGAAAACCTCAATTCACCATCATCCTTCCAGGGAATAGCTACCTCGACCGGACTGTTATATAATATCACTCACAACATAATGCATTTTGCCGCATCACCACTCTGCATGCATGCAGCGTGTACAGTACTTCAGTGTCACATGGTAACATTCAAGTGCTTAATGGCTTATAACAGCCCATCAAATTAAAACACTGCTAATCTAGCCAGTGAAGAGCATAAAGAGAGATCAGTTCACTTGCTTTTAAACACCATTATCTCATTGGTATTAGTGGCACGTCATGAAATCACATCAAAGCCACATATTTCCATTTCAAAAGGTTTGATTAAGCAGTGGACAGCATTTTAATTAAAACATGCACGGCAGCCCTCATGTGGACAAAACCAACACTCCTACTGCAGCAAGTCCACGTGAATAATTGGGGCAATTACAAACTGCATCTACAACCTTATTTCTTCTACTCTGTTAATTCTGCTCTCTTTGTTATTTGTCTTTAGCTCTCAACAGCTGACAAGGAGCACTTATCCGTGAGCAAATAGGAGCCAGAGTTGTTTCTGTGAATCACCACTAATTCCGCTGTTTTTCTGTGAATCTCCAGCAGCAGGAGGTGTCTTTGTGGAGAGACAAAGCAACTCTTTGGCAGCAATGACTGGTAGTGGTGGACGGACAAAGACAGATCCCCCTGTGGGTCGGCACGGCTCTGCCATACCGACTGGCAAGTGGGGGTTGCAGGGCCGCTGGGAGCCCATCTTACTCCTGGATATATCACACACACACAAACACAAACATATATTGTATGTATACACACACAAACTCAGGCACAGACAGATGTATACACCCACATAGCCCGTGGATGCCTTAATGCAGGCATGAATAGGCAATCATACAGTCTGTTCAACACAACTGTTTACTCGTCCATATGTGTTGATGATGATACTGAAATAAGGTGACATGTACGATTTGCTCTTAGTATCTGGAGACAAATAAGCTTATCGTTGAACTAAATTTTGCAGTGTCCTCCTTGTGTTTATTGCATCTCAAATGTTTTTTTCTTAATGATATACATTTAAAAAAAGAACCAAAACCATATAAACATGTTAATGGATTGAAAATAGACATAAACAGGTACAATTTGTTTGTTTCACTATAATTTAAGCACATTTGCCACTTAAAGGAAGGGGGGAATAGGAAGACTGAGAGTCAGCCATGCTAACAGCTCTGTGAGGCTGTATTAGGTAATGGTGCTTTGAGCCAAATGCTAAAATCAGCATGCTAACATGTTTGCAATGACAATGCTAACATGCTGATGTTTAGCAGATATAACATTTACCACGTTAACCATCTTAGTTTAGCATGTTAGCATGCTAACATTTGCTAATTAGCGTTACATGTAAAGTGCAGTTGAGGGATGATGGGAATGTCATTAGTTAGCATTGCACCAATTGAAGTTTAGACCTGATCGCGTTAGACGAAGGTCAGAGAATCAGCAAAGTGATTACAATTCATCTCGTGGAGACCATGAATGTTTACCAATTTCATGGCAATCCATCCAATAGTCGTTTGACGGACAGACAACTGACAGACCGCCATAAATAAAGCCACGCAGCTAGCTTAGCTAAAAGGGGGGAATACGATACAACAGAAAAGGAGAAAATAAATCATTATACAGTATTTGTTTCACAATGGTCCCAAGAATCCCAGCTCATTCAGTATTTTTCATCTTTGTCCTCCCGGCTGTCATCGTTTACTTTGGGGGAAGATGGTTAACAAGTTACATCATTTTAAATTCCTGTCCTTAAGGTTTCTTTAATACAAGAAGTGCTGTGAAAAATGATGGTGATGCTTGCGTTTAAAAGCATTAGTTCTTTACTTTCAGGGCTAAAAAGGCTGCAGTCCTCAAATGTCCTCTTTTTTATGCTTCTTTCTCAGCCTTCCCCACCCTGCAATAAGTCCTCTCTCCTAACAGAGAGTTATGTAACCCACCAAATCCCCTCTATTCATTCAGATGCATTACGCACACTGAAAGGGCAGCAGCAGTAGTGCATAGCAGGAAGGAACCCTGAGGTGTAACACATACACAAACACACCACTCCTCACGGGAAATGTTCCAACCCACAGCTGAGCTCCAAAATGCTCTTGAGGAGAAACAAAGCCCAAAACGACTCCTGCACTGATCCTAATGAATGAGCTGACGAATAAAAAGATGCTGTACAGCAACAAGACACAGCTTTGTGTTAAGAGCAACAGCCGCAATGTATCGGTGATGAAAGAATTATATTATGACTCATGTTAATTTTCCCCAAACCACTTTTCATCAAGTAGAAAGCAATAATTATGATGCATTCTAATAACACATCAGTGAAGAAAATAATTTGGAATTACCTGCAGGTGCCCTTCTTGAATATGGACACATGACCCATAACAGAGTAGCATACCAATAATACACTGGAGGAGCATTAATCCCTTGAGGTATGTGTAGGATCACATCACAGACCCACCTACCACAACAACAGGACCCTCACACATGATTATTTGAATCTTGCCTGTGTGAATATTGGCTGTGAGAACCTGAACTCAGTGCTTTTGGCAGAAGGAGAGTCAGCATGTCTCCAGATATTGTCATCCATGTTTGACATGCACAACAAACATGTCGCTCCCTCTTCGCAGTGGCCCACTTCAGCATGTCAGCCAGCATGGTGTCAGAGCACGGCCTGTCATCGGACTGTTATTGGACATTACAACACTAGCGACGTACACTAGGCCAGTTCATATAAAGGGCTGCTGATAGCTGGTACTTTGTCCTTACCCTCACTGTCTGACCACTTTCATGCCAAAAAACTGCAAACACGTACATATTTTAATATTTTTTTTGCCAGGTTGGAATATCCTCTACAGCATATATGCCATTATGTGACCATGAACCTCTTATTTAAATCCAAACGATGAAATGGATGAAAAAAAACGTTTTTTAAAGTCAATTTCCATCTTTTTATGTTAATGCCTCTGTTAGATTAAAAATAGGCTAGTTAAATTCTATTTAAAGGTCCAGTGTGCAGGATTTAGTGGCTCTTAGTGATTAGTATCTGTTCTCCCAAACAACAAGTCTGACCTACTAACTGCTAAAAGAAAAAAATACAACACATTCTCCCTTTTTTGACCCCTTCTCATCCACTATTAATTTTTATGCTTTTTTAAAATAATTCTTTATGCCACTGAATGATGCCTTTAATAGCTTCATTTAAGGATTATTGAAGAGGCTTGTCCCTTAATGTTACAAATTAAGAGGATTTGAGGCATTAAATTCAAAGATTTACGGGACACTGTGTTTATTTGAATGGATATATCCAACAATTATGGTGAAGATGCTTTAAAGGGATGTTTGTCAACTAGCAACGTGACTTTTGACATAAAATGGAGTTTGTATTTGTTTGTAAAATCTAAAACATGTCGAGTTATTCTTACATGTTATGAGCAATGAGTAATGCTCAAAATAATAACGTGTGACGGCTGAGTCAGAGTTTTTGTGTGAATATAGGCTGTGCACTGATGTGTCCATTCATTTCTTTATCTACAGTCATTACCACGGATGCCTTTCTGTATCAGCTGAGTGCCTCTGCTTTGTCACACAGGAAACACGGCTGTCTGAGCGCTGTCGTCGCGTCACTGTGTGTCTCTGCTATGTCCATGCCTATTACATGCTACAGTCCAGCCCTTCCTCTCAGAAGAGACAGCTTATTACTGAAACAGGCAAGATGGCTCACTCAGATATGATTTTTATGCTCTGCTGGTTTCATCATCATTCACAACTATAGATTGATCTTTTGTTAAATACTAACGGCCTACTATTTTAACTTAGGTTGACATCACCAGAATCACCAAATACTGTACATAAATTGCACGTGCATTTCAAAATGGATATGAAGTGTTTTCAAACCCTTCATAAGCAGATAAATCATATGTCTTGTCATAAGAATGACTGTCACCAGATATGCACCAGCAGCTCTAATGTGGCCCCTGCCAAGTACCCACAGAGAGTGAGAGTCATGGTGATTAGGGGTGCGTAAGGTCACAGTGCTAAATCCTCTAAAGTGATGCCTCACTATGTCCTTTATGGAAAGGTCAGTGATCATCCAGTAACCTCTCATTAGAGGGGAGTAAAGGTATGGTATTATAAAGCAAGGGTTTATGCATTCACCATACCGAAAAATAATGTTCCTATATCTGCTGTATAATGTGTAACTAAAACACTTAAACTGCAATTCAGTAAAAAAGTAATATAAAATGCAACATTTTTTATATTGCATTTTATATTACTTTTTTGCTATGTCTAGGTTGTTCTCTTTACTTGTGTTGTTACTGTGTTTGTGTTGTTACTGTGTGTAATGCTGCTGCTACACTGCAATTTCCCAGCTTGGGATCAATAAAGTTGATCTATTTATCTATCTATCAATTCATGTGTCTGAAGTAAGTACAATCCCACATCCATGATGAGGAACAGTATAAGGACCCACCTCTTTGGCACTCTTGATCTTCTCCAAGAAAGTGCGTAGCTCCCTGGTTTCTGTGTACAGAGCCCGACACACTGCCTGGTAGTGACTCTGGGCGTCTGATAGACTGGGTAGATGAGCTGTGCACAGCTACAAGGGAGACAGTTAAGCAGAGAGACAGAGAGAATTTCAGTACACAGCTGCATTTATTATAAAAACATAAATGCAACAATTTTTTAAACCAATGGCTATTAATATCAATTTTATTTGTTTATATTATTACCACATTCACAATAAAGGAATTTCAGGTTATGGAAAGCACCCTCTGGCAGCCATGTTGGAGGTCCTTAGTGCTTTGTCAATGCTACGCGTGAAATGCTTTCTAACGCTTCTATCGCTTGATCTATAAAATGTTGTTTTTCTTGACCAACAGCCCAAAACCTAAATCAGTTTACAATCGTACAAGGAACCAGCAAATATTCACATTACAAAAGCTGGAACCAAAGAATTTGGCCACTTATTCATGAAAATGATTCAAAAACATTATTGATTATCAAAATTGTTGCTATTTAGGTTTGTTTGTCGATCAACTAATTGATTCTTGGGCAAACTGTTACAGCTCTACTCTACATCATAGTTTGGACCTTTTAGAAACAAATCTAGAATACATTATCGTTCTTCATTTTTACTCACTTTTCAGTCCACACCAACAACAAGACAATTCTATTTCCAATCACTGTTTAGATCTACTCTGGGCTATATTTATTTGTCTCATAGTCTCATCGGCTCCCCTACAATACGAGAGTGTTGATGTCAAACCATGAAGCCTTGCTAAAGGATGTCAGGGACTGCATAAAGCAATAAACACCCATAAAAAACAGTTGCAGACATGTGTAAACAACTGTTGATTGCTGAACACAATTCACAAGACAACTATGCCTGAGGTCAGTCATGCTGCTGTTGTCTCACCTACACACACACACACGCACACACCCACACACGCACACGCACACACACACGCACACACACACACACACACACACACACACACACACACACACACACACACACACACACACACACAGAACAACAGTGATGACAGAATATGTCCTTGTCTCTCTCAGAGGAACAGAAGGTATCCTGGGTCAAGGCTTGGCATGCTCCTGGCGCCCATTTGTCCAGACTGCATTCCACTTAGAGAAAATTTCACTAAACACAGAAAATGCCAGACAACCGTCTCTCCCTATTAGCTTCATGGTGCCCACATCCTGTCACAAGTGTAGGACTGAGAGAAAATGATGTATCCAGGGTAAATGAATATGTTATTGTTGTCATAGTCACACAAAAAACAGTTACATTCAATAAATGTGGCACTAAAGTTAAAACCCGTTAATAGTGTATTCGTGTCAGCTAGGGTGAGTACAGTAGGACAAAAGGTAAACTGAAGGAGCACAGAGAGGGAATGGTCTGAGGGTGAAAATACAGAGACAACAATTGGAGCCGACACCGAGTTCGCCACCGGGCCGACCACACTGCCACACTGCTCACATACCTTGGAGAGCAGTATGTATGTGTGCGTGTGTGTGTGTGTGTGTGTGTGTGTGTGTGTGTGTGTGTGTGTGTGTGTGTGTGTGTGTGTGTGCGCGTGTGTGACTGTGTATGTGGTCATTATGTAAACAGTGTGAGGCCATGTGAGGACTGACACAGTGACTCTGTGCTCCATTGGACAACAGAGATACATGACTCCCAGCAAGGATGAGGCCGGCAGCCAGACTGCACTGCAGTTGTAATCTCTGTGTTCAGAGCCATGTTTCACATTTTCATTTCCTCACATCTTTTCCTGAACAGTTACCCTCGCTGATATAATCTGTTCCTGGAAATTCAACAATTGATTATGTTTGAGTCAAGAACTGTATTTTACTTATATATTTATATATTATATATTATATATTTATACTATCACCACCGGATTTACTTATTTACTAATTACTTTACAAATGAACATTTTTGTCTAAAACTGATTACTGATTACAATATATAACCCATTGGTATATAGAAACTTTATTAGTTTATAAAATTAGTTCCACCTCAACCAGCCAAAATGAATGCTTACAAGTTAATGTGTAGCAACAATAATCCAATAATAAAATCTATATAATAATATACCACTCTGAAAGGAGCATTCTGCATAATGTGTACTGTCTACACAGCATATTCTGAGGATAATACTTTGTTCGAATGCAGGACATTTACTTGTAAAGGAGTTAATTTAAATTGTTGTAGGCCTATTGGTACTGAACTGGAATAACTGGCAGTAAATGATTTGTTCATTGTATTTCTTCCATTACTGGAATCCATGAATTCAGATTCCTCACATCTGTTGCATTAGTCCTATCAAATGATGACTCAAGCATTTCTTAATGTGTTGCAGTAGTTATGCAATTAAGTGGTTACTTAACAACCTGTAATTCAACACTTTTAAACATTACTATACCAAACATTTAAAACTGCATTAATCAGCAGGACATCACAATAAGCTAAAAATAACACATATTTGACATACAATATGGTTTTATAAAGTTGATGTTGATGTTGATTTCACAATCGTGTTAGCAAAATATCGCTTATTTCCACATCCAGCAGACATGGAGCACCATTAGCATTCATTTGGAGTCATGTTTCTTGCAACCTAACAACCATTAAACAAGTATTAAATATTCCCTCTCCTTTTAGCTCCATTTTCTCCTAAGGGAAATATCTGGCTCTTTAGCTGCTAAACGCTCCATTATGTTCACCAGCCAGAGGCTAACTTTGTCTGTCTGTCTGTCTGTATGTCTGTGTGATGTTGGACAGGTAGCGAACAGTGAGTTTATCAGAGCTTCGCTGAAAACAGCTGCTAACTCCTGCTGAAAACCAGGCTGATATAAAACCAAAACAACGGGCTGAAAGGCGTTAAAATGCTCTGTAGAGATAAGAGGACTGCAGAGTTGAATGATAATTCTCTGAAACACTAACATCACTAATCCACACCATTCGCATTACTCATAGTCATTTGATCCATTTTAATATTTAAATTTAGTGTCTTATTAGCTGTTGGAACGTTTCTCAGGAAAAGTCTGAAAACAGGAAGTGATGTGTTTACATCTCCAGCAACAGCAACAATGGTTTATTTGCAATCAGTAAAATGACCAGTTATCTTACACATAAATAGCCACCAATGGCCGAACAAACACAGAAAAGACAGCCACAGTCACTTACTCAGCTACTGTACCTACCTTGAGGATATCTCTGTAGCCGTGAACACTGGAGATATTGTCAGGGTCATCCTCTGCCTCGTCCTCTTCCTCTGTGGCCTCATAGCCTTCATCGGGGCAGGCGTCCTTCTCAGCCTCGGCCATGTTGGTCATGAGGTCGATGAGCTCCTCAAGAGGAGGGCTGAGCTCCCTCTCCTCATTCTCCTTCAGCCCGTAATCCAGAGCCTTGTAGATCATGATGCCCAGAGACTCAATCACCTGAGAGAACACAGGAGACGAAAAGTAGCTTCACATCATCTGCGTTCATTCTCGTACATACTGTGTCACTTTTGCTTATTTACATTCATTTCTATAGGCATCATCTCCATCTGTAAAGTTTACAAGTTGATACTTATCTGCATGCTAGCGTGTTTCTTTTATTTATGAACAATATGTTACTTCCATGTGTAGATTTAACAAGATTAGTAGCTTACAATCGCATAAATTGCACACATTGTAAGAAAAATCTGATGTATGAATATTACATATTGTTTTGTACATTGTTCTGTTCTTCATCTGCCACATAATAAATTCAAATATGGATTTCTGCCTTTGTTATGCAATATGATCCTCTTTTGTGTGCCAAGCCTGAGCTGAACAGCTGTAATATGGTGACCTCAGGACTCAGCCTTTGGCTAAAGAGCTCCCTCAAACATACACGCTCACCGGCCTTTGACATGCTGATGCTGGGAGCAGATTACTGACAGTAGATCTTGTGATTAACTGACCCATGAAGGAAAACACAAACATCACATCATACGTGACCTCATACAGACAGTCTGTTAAAAAATGCTGGAATTCAGAGGCAAGGGCCAAGAGGTCATCTGCCATTTGTTCACTGTCTTAGATTCATCCTACTTGAGGATGTCAGGACACACAATATTTTTGGTATTAAATTCTCACATCTACAAGCTCAAATGGTCGCTATTAAAAATTGTTTGTCTGCAAAGAAAACAGTGCACAACCACAATATAGCTTAATACATTTCTCTTTTGAAATTAAAAGGTTAGCACTCTTACATGGAGGTTACATTTCTCATGAGGGATTACCTTTGCTTAGCATCTAACGTGTGCATCTACAATAAGCACAGCAGTCTTTTTCAACCATAATGTAGCTTTTTCGGGGAAACACAATTAGTTTGACATGGTTTGTTGGACCTTTTGATACTTTGTTTATACCATGGAAACAGCAGGTTTTCTATGCACAAGCAACCTTAACCCTTACATATTGTTCGGGGCAAAATTGACCCATTTTGACATTTGACAGCAGTAAAAATACCCTACATGTCATTCTTTTGACCTGAAATTTTATGACTTTTCCTAAAGTGAACCAAAATACGCAAAAATAAAAATAATATAAAATAAATTAAAATGTTTAAATTTTTATACATTGATGTTGTCAAATTTGACCCAGATCTAGTCAGATGGATTTTAGACCCATTAGAGTGGGTCAAATCAAGGAAAATGGTTGTTCTAGGGAATCTTGAAACTGTGAAACTGTATATTCTATGTCTGTGTGTATTTTTATGGGACAACGGTGACAGAGTTGGTGGGGGACCTTGACACTGTCACAATAACTGTTCACCAAGGTTCCTGCAGGGACAGGCCCCTGCTGGTCTTTGGGGGCCATGGGGGAACCACACATAAGAAACAAAGGTCACACAGAGGTCAGAGGGTGCCTTGACACAGAGACTTGCACCTGCACCTGCAATGTAACAATATAATATAAAAATAGACAAATTAGAATCAAATCAATGTGTGTAGGGATCTGATCAAGTCACACAAGAAACTAACACGAAGGGACAAAAGAGAAGGAGATGCAACCTCTGCTCTCCAAAAAAGGACTGCAAAACAGGGACAACCTGCAGCAAATGTGGGAAGCACATTTTGCAAGTCCCACACACGAAACTTTTTATGAGGACTTTCTTGGACCGGGTCAAATTTGACCCGGACCATACTGTAAAGGCATTGGATGTGAACTTTTTGTAAGGTTAAACCTGCATTAACTGATGTTTTGGCCACTCTGGGGCAGTGCAATAGGCTGTAAAAGTAACACTGACATATAAGCTTACACTGTAAAACCAGGTAAGTAAATTTAAAAAATAAAAAAATTGTTGAAACTAATTATAATCGAAAATCTTAAGTAAAACTAACTCAATATGTTAATATATACATATATATATATATATATATATATATATAAATACAAATATTTAAAAATATTCTTGATAAAGTAGCTTTAGTAATTTTAAATCACACTGACTTATAACTAACCTATTAAAGTAGTTGTGGAGTAATGTGATGGACATATTAGCACACTTATCCAGCAGACATTTATTCATTCATTCGGAATCGTGTTTCTGGCCACCAAGTTCAATATAAATTTTTTAGCTGCTTTTGGTCTCACTCCTGAGGGACATATCCGTGCTTATCAGAGCAGCTTTAAGTGTTCATATTGGAATGAGCTAAACCAGCCATTTTACTGTAAAACTGCTTTATGAAACCATGCTTTTGTTTTTACATCCAGGATGAAGTAGTCAGCTGAGCGTCTATCTATGTGGTCAAACCTCAAACCCAGAAGACAAACAACAAGCATACATGGAAAATGGAAAATGTGGGTTTAGTGTCTCACATCATCTTCTTGCATCTCTGAGACTTCCACCCCCACTTGAACACGCGCCACCATCATTACTTTTACTGTGATACAACCTATCCTTTTTACTGTATTACTACTACACAAAAATAATATACTTTGACAAAAAAGAATCTCTGAATGTTCAAAGTCAAGTAATAACTGTGTTAACAAGTTAATGTTTATTATGCTAAAAACATTACTGTAAGGAAAATAAATGGCTTTCTAACATTATGTAATATCACCAAATTATGTAATAACTTGACAAAATGTAAATTTTTACTTCATTATGATAATAACCACATTTTATAAAAATCTGCCACATAGTGTAATAAACAGCCTGAACCCAATATGTTACACATTTAGAATAAGCTGAAGCCTTGTGATGGTCTTTTTGAGGAGCCCTTAAAAGGCCATTGCAATCCTGCTAGAATTAAGCATAAAGGAGTCCCTGAGTTTGGCTGTATTAATAAGATGATAACAAGCTGATCATGTTACTGCTTTTATGTGGCTAATCAGACTAAGATCAGACTGATGCCACAGGTCAAAGGAGTCAAATTTAATATTTGGGTTAACCTAAATTTCATTTAGGTTAATTATAAAGTATAAAAATATAACATGTACAGATGAAGAGATCCATTTTGATTGGTAATTACATAATCCGCCATATTATTATATTTTCATCATAAAAAAGAGCAACTCCTACATTTTGTAATAACCACCACAAAATGTATGCATCAGATTATTTCAAAATGCAGGTGTTATTACATAATGAAGTGAAAATGTATTACATATGTCATTACATAAAAGGCTTCCTGGATAAAAAAACATATTGGCTTTTGGATAAAATGCTTACCAATAAGGTTAAATATATAAGATGTCAAATGTTAAAATGCATATTATTTCTGTTCCAGTGGTTGGTGCTTGTAGGTCAGGAGATGCTATGCTTAGTTAAAGCACTCAATCTGCCCTGGAATTGGACTGTCATGGTGGATAAAGACAGCAATGCCAAAGCCAAGACAAAAGGCAAGAGTGGGAAATCACACAGGGGATTATTCTGGAGTCCTGAGCACTGAGAAAAGACTCAGAGGGAGCGAGAGAGCATATAAACCACTATGGGGAAAAGTAACTGAGAAAGGGGGAATGAGGGGATGCAGGAAGGGCGGAGAAAGACCAGGATCAGAGACAGAGGACAGGAAAAAGAAGCAGTGAATGAGATCATGAGAGTCACCGAATGGATAAAGAGGTCAAGGAGGGAGGAGAAAGGTGAGACATCAAGAGAAACAGAATGAGTGTGTGTGTGCAGAAAAGAAGATCAAGGGCAGATCAATAGACATTCATGGAGGGGGGAGGAGTCATATGAGAGATCTGTCCCCCTCTACCCCATTAGTGCCTAAAAGAGCTGGGTTTTCTCAGGGGGGAATGGCTGAATGCCACCTCTTTGTCTAAGCTCCACCCGGATCCACACTAACTGATATATGACACCATGCAGGGAGAAAAATGGCTGCACATGCAAACATACTCCTCCAGGGACCTGCTGTAACCTCAGGCTATAACTGACATCATCAGCTAGAGCATGTTGTAGAAAATGTGACAGACATGGACGGTTCTGCCCTGCCCAGAGGCTAAGGCCTTTTATTCGTAAAGTATGTGGATTTTCAGGCTCTTGCTTCTTATCTGCAGCTTTACTTGGCTAAACCACATCTTCTAGAATTCAGTCAAAGGCTATAACAGCATCCAATCTGCAAAAGGAGATTCACAAAAAGAATTAGTTTGCTCATTTTTTCACTTTCAATTGTTCCACTGACTGATAAAAGAGGTGAGGGTTTTTTTTTTAATCTGGCAGGAGAAGCAGCCACAAATTAAACTTTCAACCTTACAGAGATCAAAGACATCGGAAAGCTACAATGTGCCTAAATGTGCCACATTTTAAAATATACTGTATTATTGGTCTTTCATTTTCCATAAAATGGCTGTCTGGTTAAACCCAGCATCAGGACCTGTGTGGTACTGAATTGAAGAAACAATCCTTCTTTTGCAAATACACCAGCATCCCTTTGATAATAGCTAAAGTTAAAGTCCCCCTCCAGTAAAAATCAGTGTTTTCTTCTTGTTCCTACAGTGTGATGTTTGAATGATGTATGTGCAGAGTTTGACACTAGAAAGAGGTTTTTACATTCATCTGCTGAAAGTAGAAAGTTTCTCTGTGCTCATTGAAGAACTGTTTTAAAGGGGCGTGGCCCATTATTAGCAGACTTTTCACCCTTGAAAATAGATTTAAACTGGCAGTTATCGTGGTCAAATACAGTAGCATTCTTTTATCTAGGAATCCAACACATCAAATGATCCATTATAAATTCATTTACAGCTTCTACTTCTACCCGAGAAGATTATTTGAAATGGAAATACTTCAGTGCACTAATTGCTCATTTTGTTCTAATGGTGATCTAATGTTATGAGTTTCCAAAGGTGATGAAATTCTGGGATATGATACGATGTGTTTTCACAGTCTCACATTGTGCATATTTCAAATTACCCTCTGATCAAAACAACGTTACAACACATTACAATCCTGTTTATGCTGTCAC